AGGGGAGACACGCTGCCCTCGGATGCATCGTTGGAGATCATCGCGAGCGGAGGGATGTCCCACTGGGAAGCAGTTATCGGCCCTCCTCGACGATCCTCAGGTAAGTATTATGCATTTGTGATTTATATTATACGTCGTTTAAAATTTTGTTTACATGATCGTTAAATAGTTGAAATGTCAATATGTCAGTTTGAAGTCATACCTGAGTTGACGCCATCGATGGAAGAGGAGGCTTGGGGTCTTGTGCGGGATTTAGGCGTTCCGCACACCCCAGACGCGGAGATGCCTGATCCGAGTTTGGACCGAGATTGGGTATGTGAATGAAATATAATTTATTGAATATGATCGACGTATAAATTTATTGAATAATTAATTGAATAATTTTTCATTTTATTTATGTAGGAGGGCGGTCCAGCTGATCGACGATTACCTCCGCCGAGGGCATCGCCGCCACCATTGGTATCATCTCTACCGAGAGTATTGTCCCCACCATTGGCAACACCTCCGTCCAAACACCTCCCCCGTGTGTTTTCGGGGCACAGTGATGATTTGTATGCCCATTTGACTGGATTTATAGCGGAGGAGGTCGGCGCACTACGACAAGATTTGACGGAGAGGGTCGATGATCTGGGACGAGAGTTGACAGGGAGGGAGGAGAATTATCCCCGAGTAAGTATTGTATGATTTTAATAAAGCACTGTATGCTAACTCGTCTACGCTTATTTTAACATTTCCCTCTTTTTTACGGAGTTAGCCGCACGATAGGATAAAGGACGGTCTCGGACCCTTACAAGTGATTCCACGATATCACCACTGTGGGAGCTTGGCTCGCTGACGATGTAAGTGAACTATTCATTTCGTGTTTTTTATGTATATGTGACCTTGTGTTTATTAAATGAATCTCATACTTTTTTAGTGTTTCCTGCTGCAGCACATCGACCTGACCATGGACTTGCTGCGAGATCGAGCTCAAAGACATCCAAAATCATTTGATATCCATGGTCAAGTCATATTAAACACCTAGTTCCTTGGTGCCGTTACCATCGAGTATCAGTCGCTTGCACTTATGGGTAACGAGTACACGGTACCAGAATATATGCTCGAGTGGGTGATAGGACTGTCACCGAGTGTCGGGGGAAAATCATGGGAGGGTTGTACACATATGTACATTCCAGCGTGTATCAATAAATACTATGTTACGTTGAAGATCGTTTTTGCTTACTCGACTATATATGTGTACGACCCAGATCATTTATATTTGACATAAGGCTAG